GACAGTGGCAGCAGAGGTAACACATCAAGGGACAGTGCGTGAAGCGCACTCGAGAGCCTATAGACCACTGAATTATAACAGATAAGCTGGGCCTTCAATGATCTCATAGACACCGCCGTCAAGGAGAAGGGTGGGCGCAGCCATAACTCAGACGCGCTGCTAGATTCCCTTACCATTCGCTGCCAAACGGTTTTGCTCAATTCCACAAATAGCAAACCATGGCAATGGCACCATTGTGCAGGTCAAGGCTGCAAGGAGAGCTGGGCTTATCTACGCAACACTCTACATATCTACAAACATGCTTCAGCCTGTCCCAAACTCACTAATGAGCAACGCGCTGATTAGTGTGAAGTGCAGACTGCAAATGAGCTCTCTAACTAATCTAACCCACAAAACAACCAAACTCCACTTGTCATAGAGAGAGAGATATGTATAATGTCGAGTAGGAAAAGTCACAAAACCCCAAAATCGTCTTCTCCTTGTGTGACAACAGGCCCCTGTCAACAGAGCCTTGGCACAGATATGTAAGGTTGTAGGGTAGATACAAGTCTTCTTGCGAAAAACGTTGATTTTGTGTGCCCCAAAGCGTACTATCGACGAAACTCCGCAATAGAGAAGCGCCAATACAGGTATGAATAGTAATGAATATGTATCAGTAATTTAATCATTCTAAGCAACTAAAGTAAACGACAAGACCTAGGAATTGAATAACAATGAATAATCTGAACTGCAGAGAGGCCAAGTCACATCGGGGTTTTGGTAAAAAAAAGCAGCCCAAAGCTGGACTTATTTGTGGCAGATACAGGCCCAAATAACGGGGGGCTGATTGTTACGGCCCTGATTTAGGTGCACGTGACTTAGAAATTACCAAATAAGGTAATTTCCGAGTCACGCATGCGGAAATCCGCGGCCTTGATTTAAATCCAATCGGCTGACCCCATTTGGCGCTGGTTTTCCCACAAATAAGTCCTGCTGTTTTTGCGCGAATCCCCGATGTGAGTGCTGGTCTGTATAACACAGACTGTGTAACATTTGTGACCTGTGTATGTTCTTTGTGTGCTGCCTAAGAAGCAGTATTCAAAGACGTGATTCCAATGTCTCTTTTTGAGAAAATAACCTTTTGTTGTTGACAGAAAGAGGTATAAATTTTTTAATCAGCATCTGTTGGATTGTAAGGACAACCCCGGAGGCCTGAGATCAAGGTCCTAGCAGGGGAGGATCCAAAGAGTGAATAATGGTAAGTAAATACAAAGGAAGCTGACCTAGCAGGGAGGATCCAAAGAGAAGAAACTCTAAGGGTCCACCTGCTAGGTAGCTGAACTACATACTGTGCTCTTGATGTGCCAAGTGTGATTGTTGCTCTGAGCAGTATGCCTACGCCATGCATCTGTGTAGCCCACAGTTAACTGCCAGTTATTAGATGAGATGCGCCAGGTCAACACTGACAAGCCAGGGCTCTATCCAGGGTTCCCATTTAAATGAATTATTATTGAAGACAGGAATGAATAATTTGAACTTTTTTAAACTCCCAAGACCTTTTTTCGCCTAAGTTAACCATATTGACACTTGTCAGCGTGGATACAGGTATGAATAGTAATTAATATATATCTGTAATTCAAACTTATAAGTAACTGAAGTAAATGACAAGACCTAGGAAATGAATAGCAATGGATAATCTAAACTGTAGGTAGGCCTGTGTGACATACTGTTCCAAAAAGGAAATTTTGCTACAAGACACTTTAGCTAGTCCTACTGCCTGTATATAGCGTCATATTGAGTGACCAGCATCACAAATTTCCTCAAAAGGAACTTTCTTAGTCAATCATCAGAGATGTCACAGATTGTCACAAAATCCAAGTTGTGTATTTTGACTATATAAACAACTTTCATTAAGTAATCTGTAGTGACAGCTAAATAGTTGTGGCAGCACTAGCTAATCACTAACTGGTATATAACTGATAAGCCTCTATCTCCATAACTACTTAAGATAAATGCATGATTGAAGTATCATTAGGAAGGTTATCAAAGGTTGCCATTGATTGACCATGGTAGTTGATCAACATCATATGATATAATCACAATATTGACTATTCATTTATGTAAACACAGGAACATCTGGTACTCAAATAATGTAAGGTGACTGACTTGTAACTTCACATACTCCAAGCTAGTACTCTAGCATGTCCACCTCTGGCCCAAAGTGAATATAGCACTGAAAATGCTATGAATTGTTTCATCAGTTACTCTTATATTAAGCAGATGTTGTGTGAATGTATGCACATGTTTGGCATCAGCTTTAGCAATTTATTTACTCCACATTTCCATTTTTGGGACCACTGCTGTTGAAACCCTAATTTGGTAAGAAAAGCTGTAAAGTCTAATTGGGACACAAAGCTGTAAGATCAAGATTTTATATCAAGTACCATAAACAAGTGCAATCTAAGGCTATTTGTCATGTTGTTCTTGGCTGTAATATCAGTATAGAGGGCATGCAGACCTTGATATTTCATAAACTCATAAATAAAATTGGGCGGTTTAATTGGCACATTCAGTCTGCAAAAAATTGTGAAACAACATTTGAAGCTGGGGCGTAGCCCCAGCCTGTCTAGTGGTATTTGATCTTCATCAACTCTCAAAGATAAGCATGGATCTCCTGCTCACCTCAGTAGATCAAGCTAGAAGAGAGCTCACTTGAAAGGTATATTATTGTACAATTCTCTTGTCTATCTAGCAATCTCATCTGGTACCATCACATTAATCTATTAAATGCCAAGCATGACTGAATACTGAGTTGAGGAGTATTTTGCTGATATCCTAGGACCCTATGTATGGAATATCATGATCCAAGTTGATATAGCTCCACAGGATGGTCCTCCATGATCCTATCGATTTGTCAGCATGCGGCTAATACTAGGGTCAGGCAATCCATGGAGGCCTTAGGTGTCATATAACCCAGGATAGAGATATGCTAGTGGGGCAGAGACACAACTTTCTGGGAGGTAGACCATACCCCCACTGGTGGATATACTCAGATTCCTCAGACTCACAAAGATCATGCCATAGTGAACTCATCATCTCTAGAGTAGATAACACTGATCATGGTACTATAAGAGATCCGGAATAGCTATGAGGGTGGTTCAAGCACTGGACAGGTTCATTTGAAGGCCTATACCATCCTATGTTCAAGTCTTAGATCATACTTGAAATTAATTTCTAACCAGTCGTAAGAGCAAAGACACTCTCTTTTACTGACCGATTTCAATCAATTCAGCAGGCCTGTGACCCATGACCGTTTGGCTGAAATGTTTAATTCGCCGAATTACGTGTGACCTATTACCCGATTAGGAAATCTGGCACACCGCAGGCAGGGAAAATTTGAAATCTTACCCAATTGGGACACTTTGGGACCAAAAAAAATTTGCTGTAACCTGTGACCCGCTGAAATATTTTGGCCAAAAAATCTGATGTGACCGTGACCAGCCTAATTGAATGAAATGGGTCAGCTATAGTGTCAAATTTCAATTCCGAGTCTTAGGCAAAAAAAGGTCTTGGAGGTTTTGAAAAGTCCAAATTATTCATTCCTTTTTTCAATAATTATTCATTTGTATAGGAACCCTGGATAGAGCCCTGGCTTGTCAGGGTCCCCCTGGCTTGTCAGGGTCCCCCTGGCTTGTCAGGGTCCCCCTGGCACATCTTACCTGATAACTGGCAGTTAACTGTGGGCTACACAGGTCACCATGTCACAAGCTAGGTCTCAAGGGGATCACCAGTGCGGGCGGTAATGCACCCGATGGAGGCAGTGATACGATCACCAGAACCGCAATCGGACCGGAATCGTGATCGGAATCGGCGGGTTGAAGGGGAGCGTCCTTTGACCTGGATGGCTTATTATCAGAGACTCAGAGATGAGAGAGATACACTTTTTCAGTCTTTTAAACAAGAGCAAAAGGGAGTTATTTCAGAATCAGTTTCTATTTCAACAGAATAGGTTTTTTTTTTTTTTTTTTTTTGTAAAAACCTATGTTGACATGAGTAGAATAAATTCCTCTTGATGTGGAAAAAAAGAAAGATTCTCTGTGATGCTATGATATTTCTTCTCTGTAAAAAGATATATTCCACTGTTCACATTAAATTCATATATTACCACTAGTAATGGGAAATGAAAGTTTGGTTTGGTATTGGCTCTGTAGCTGTTGAACTGGCACATAGCAAGTTTGGTTGAAAGCTGTTGAATTATTTAAATGTCACGGTGCCTAAATTAGTCACATAGAAAACTGCAGAAAGATACCAGTATGGCTGTTTAGTGCAAAGTGATGCTCAAAATCAATATTAATCCCCAAATAATATCTTATTTAGAATCATACCCATCTGTCAAAGTACTCAGCTGCTCAGACTTCCAAAAAAGGCAAAGCTGACATCAGTAATGGAGTTACAAGAGTCCAACTAACTAAACATATTGATTCAAACATCCAGACATATTGATAGAGGTTATATAATGCTGGCACACACGGCCAAATGTTGAACCTTGGGGCTAAAAACCAGTCTTAGAGCTGAAAATCGCCTTCTTCGGCAATTCAACACATCGCGCCGGTTTAGGTATAAACCAGTTTTCGAATGCTTCTTAAATTGCAAACAGAATATAATGTCCCTAGTACCTGCACCCTCCCTGAGAGCAGGGTAACCGTGACCAGGTAGGTAGTGAACAAAATGTATTTGAACAAGGGTACTCAGGCAGGCAGGCCCAGCAGAGACCATTTACATATAGGGAAAGGCTTCTCGAGGAACTTGAAACCAGCGTCCATCATGAGCAGTTGAAACTTTGAATCTGGATAATAACACATTCTAATATCGTGTTTGTCGTCGTGGTGCTACACAATATACAAGATTGATAGTTAAGCGGGTATACAGTAGCGCGCAGTGCTAGAGGATTATTTTGTAGAAAGCTAAGCAGTAATCGTGGTGAATGCAATGCAGGTCATGAAAGCTAGAGGATATCGTCGTTATACGCGTTCCTTGGGCAATTCAGGCGGCACGTGTCCGTCCTGTTCGAGCTTGAAGCTGCTGCCCGCGCTGCCGCTTTGGCGCTCGACATCGTAGCCATCGTCGTCGTCTTCCTCATCGAGCTCCAGGGGTATTCCGCTCGTCATCGTCAGCGAACCGTCGTGGCTGCGCATCCGCGAGTGGCGGCGGGTCTCCCCGTCCAGGTGCGCGGCAGGCGGGACGATGAACTGCGAGTATATGTCGGGCGAGTATATGTTCGGGTTGGCGGAGAAGCGGATCGGGTTGGCGTTGGGGGACAGAACGGAGGCGTCGTGGATGATGTCGGTCACCCATTGATTCTTGGTGTTGCTGAACCGGCGGACGGCAGTGTTGGCGTCGTTCTCAGCGCGTAGGTTGAGGATTCTAAACCATTGAGTTGCAGAAATAATGACAGCAGACCACACACAGACGACAGCAAAGCACGCTCGAAATCTGGATGCTGGCGGGGGCATTGATAGCCTGGATCATCTCGTTGCCCTGGCTAGACGGCGCGGTCAGCGGGAAAGGGACCAGGAAACGCAAGGAACAAACATGAAAAAGATCACGTTCAGCCTGTTGACACCTGTCAGCTGTGGTGTTGCATCGGAGGACAGAGACATACAGATTGAATACGGAGATGGCGACAAAGTAGAAGAGCCCGTCGCGGACCATGCGCTTCATGAGCGAGTTGGTGGGCCCCTCGCGATTCTGTTCGAATAGGCGGTAGACCGTCAGCGCCGTCATGATGAAGTCGCATGTCCTGGAAGCACCGTCAGCTGCGGACAGAATGGAAGACGGTGGACTTACATCGGCGCGGCGTAGAAGGCGATAATGAACTTGGGGCCGGCGATCGAAGGCTTGCCGGTGACTGCACGACAAGTCAGTCAGGCCGAGAACGGGTCGGGGAGTGCTGACCCATGCATGGTCCCGGCCATTGTGGCAGACGGTTATCTAAAGTAACGGGTTTTAGTCACAGACAGAGACTGGTGCGGGGAAACGCACAGTCGAATGCGAGGATGGGGACCGCAATCATGACCCCGAGAAAGCCGACGAGCATTGTAATAAGGAAGGCGGCCATGTGGCGGTCGCAAGCATAGAGAGCGTAAACGCTGAGGCGATGAGAAATTGGCTGGCCAACATATGGAAGAGCTCACCGAATGGCGAGGACTACAAGTCATATTTAAGAAGAGCAGAGCCAAAAGAAATCGAAATGCTCACCCGCTTCGACGGAGAGATCGATAAGGACGGCAATACCAGGGAGAATGCGGACATAGCGCGCGCAGGCACTGGACGGACATATCAGTTGGTGACTGGAAAGGGAAGAAAGCCACGCACTTCTCGCTCCACCCAGCAAAGAACCCTTCAGAACAGACAATTCAAACGCTATTTCCGACTGCAAGAAAAGCACGCACAAACGTCGGTTACTGAAGCTGTATCAGAGGAAGTGCTGCATACTATGGAGTGGACGCACCAATTAGCACCATGAAGGTATAGTATCGGACCATGCAGTAGAGAAACTTGATTGGGGTCCATGATTTGGATTTCCAGATGTACTTGCGCTAGACGAAGATGTCGGTTGGTGGTTTTGCTCGACGCATCATGGGATACAACGCACCTCTTGTGGTAGACAGGACAGCCAGTCCCAAATCAGAATTGACGTCGTGCCTGCAAAAGAATCGCCGGTCAGGCCCAAAGGAAAAAACGACTTCGGCGGGACGAACACGCGATGTAAATCTGGGAGCGGCGTCATCGATGTCGGGGATAGGCAACGTCCGTACTTACCTGCGCTGCGTTAACCACACTTTCAAACTGGGTTTCAGACGCAGACATGGCTGCTGGTCGGGAGGAAAGGGGGGACGAACGGTGGGGGCAAAAAGCGTGGCGCGTGGGCACATTCTTGCTTTTATGCCACCACGAGTCTTCCAGCGATGGGATAGGCTCATGACTGGCAGGACAAGATAGATTCGCCGTCGCATTCGGAGCTGCAATTCTTCCTTGCCCCGGCTGGGATCGGCAAGCAAAGTGTCGTGGGAAAGCGTTACGGTAACGCTTCGAGACCGCATGATCGCCTCGTTCATTCTGACTGCCATTCCGGCTTTCATTGCCCACAACTTCGAAGATGGTGGTCCCTTCGCAAATGTGCGGTCGTGTGTCTTTCCGTTCTCCAAGATACACAGTTGCTCATCGCTATTTTTCAGCACTCGAGGGAGGATAGCAATCCACTTTGCTCTTAAGTTCTCGCGAGGTCTTCGCAATCCGCTCAATATGAGCTCGGTAGTACGGACCGCTGCCCTGGTGCCACCCCCTGCGGCCGTTCTCGTGTCAAAGTGCCAATCATAGTCCCACCAAAGTCCCACCCTGCCTCATTCGAGCCATCGCAATAGCTGTCCTTGAGCTGTCCAAATGCCTCGTATACCTCGGCAACCACAACATTATTCGCGCTTGCACTTATTGGGAACAAGGACTATCGGGCGCAAATCCGTCCGAGCATCTCCACATCGGATGACAGGGCCCTTCTGGAGGAGTATTTTGAGGGAGCAGTCGGACTTGCGAAGCTTCGAGTAAACCCCCCGCATCTCACCCCACTCTTTCGCCACACAACTCCCAGCTATAATATGCCGGAAATTTACCCTGGAGAAGTCGCGTACATCACTGGTGCTGCCTCAGGTAAGTCCTATTGTCGCTGTCGCGTGTCACGATCTCGACGGGGCTGGACACGACGATAGGAATCGGCAAGGCACTAGCGCTGCGCCTGGTCGGACAAGGGTCAGTCGCCTTCTTCTTTCCACCTGCTTGTCTCAACGTCCATTTTCCAGTGGACGGGTAGTCATAGCTGATGTTAATGGCGAAGCTGGTGCTAAATTCGCGACGGAATTGAACGAGAAGGCAGGCAGCGTGTGAGTGGCGACTTCTTTGCACGGCGCCTGCAACGAAATTAGCTGACGTTACTTCATTTTGGCAGGGTTTCCATCTCCGTCAAGGCGGACACCACAGTATGGGAGGAGCAACTCGCAGGGTTCCAGCTTGCAGTCGAGACGTTCAAGCGGATTGACTATGGTGCGTGCATGCTCCACTCTTCCCAATTCCTTTATTGTCGTTCTGTATCATTCTACTGAGTCATAACTCCACACAGTGTTCGCTAACGCGGGTGTGGCTGAGCGTCCATGGCTCCCGCCATTTGACCCGGCGGCCGCTGCCTCGCGTCCTCTCACAAAACCCAATCTCTCCACGGCCGACATCAATCTGACAGGCCAGCTTTACACCGCGGCCTTGGCGTTGCAGACCTTCGAACGGCAAGAGCCCAGCGAGCAATCTGGGTTCAGAGGGAAGCTCATCATGACTGCGTCCGTTTTTGGCTTCTTCCCTACACGCGCAATGCCCATGTATGCTGCGTCCAAGGCCGGAATTGTCCATTTTATGCGTTCAGCTGCCGAGTATTACGCCGATAAAAATATTACTGTCAATGCCAGTGCGTCGTTTTTCGGTTCTCTTCCCATGCACGGAGCGCTGACCGCTATCTTAGTTGCGCCTAACCTGATTGGTGCGTTTCCTGCCTGCATTTAGCCTGCCGTGGGTCTCAAAGACACCGAACAGATACGGGAATCGCGCCAGACGTGCTCTTCGTGCCCTTCCGCGAGCAGAATCTGCTCTCGGACATCCAGCTGGTCTTGGACCAGTTTCAGGTATTTCCCTCGTCATCTATCGCGTCACTAGAGCTGAGAGAAGCACACAGAAACTGCTCGGAAATAGCACTTTGAACGGCCAAGCGCTCTCGATAAGCCAGGCTAACGTGTGGGCCCACCCTCCCGACACATACAAGCTCGCTGAGAACCTGCCGGCGTGCGACCTGATCAGCGTAGAGATTTTTAAACTATTTGGAGATAAGACGAAGTAGAGAAGTGGTGTACAGATAGCGCGCGCGCTGAGAATGGACTGGGATATGAAAAATCGAACAGACTCTGAGATCTGAGCAGCTCTTATTGCCGCCCGTTCCCGGTTTTCGCGGTTCTGCACTCATTTCCGCATCAGGAAACACGGATTCGGCTATGGAACTGCCAGCCAAGATATGTATGGCCTCATAGCTATTATAGCACTACCGTAGACGTCTTCTGAAACTCCATAGCATTCTGTAGCGCTATAGACATCAGTATCAAAGATATGAATACTTGTGTAGTATTTACTGCTGGCTATCACCAGCTACCATAGTGCTACCAATATCACTAGCAAGAGTATGAATGACTATGAATCCATTGCTACTACCAGTTCACAATACTAGTTCCTCATATGAAAAATAAGAAGTTTGTGTGTAAAAAGTTGAAGAACAGTGAGCATATATTTACTACTAATATCATACATAGCTGAGAAGATTAGTTAACACACAACATAGCTGAGCAGACTAGTCAAGATACCAGTAGGAGGTATGTGACAAAATGGTCAGAGCATCAAGTCAGTTCCAGACCACACTATAGTTACTGAGAAAGCAGCTATTACATTCTCTACTTGGTCTAGTTGATTTGCTCTGCTTTACTCTGTTGTCTTTTGTTGATTCTCAACAAGGTCCTCGGTTCAAGTCCCACACTTGCCATTAGGTCATTAACAATAATAATAATAATAATACTGATAATTGAAAAGTGTCCCTTCCCTGATCTTCTGTGCCTTCTCGGTTGGCCAGTAAGTGGGGCAGGGGCAGTAATATTTGTCTCTTATTGCAGTGCATTTAGGCTGATATATAAGAATATGTGAGGGCTATGGCACTGCTATGGGGGATCTACGATAGCACTGGCATATGCTCCCATAGCACTCTGTAGCGCTATATATCAGGCAACTTGTCTACAGAGCTATGAGTGCTATAGATGCTTCTGTAGCGCTACCATGGCAGTTGCTGTGTTTCCTGATGCGTCGAGGCTGCAAGATGCTTTGATTATCTGATGATGATACGATAACTGACTCAAGCATCCCATTCAACGGTAATTACCACCAAACATTGGCATTGAGCCTGAGGTTCCACTGTCACCTGTGCGAGTTCTCGATTACAAGCCGCCCATTTGCTTTTGTGAGGGGCAGTGCTCCTTCCAACGCGTCGCGGCAAGCCGCATGCTGGACATCCCGCGCCAATGGATGCTCGATATACCCCTGCGCCTGCTTGACACCGATTTGAGTGGTCCAGCGCACAGTTTTCAGTTTTGGATGCGCCGAAAATACATCATCGAAAGCGGCCATGAGTGTGGAGTCCCAAGACCACTGGATTGCAGTGGGCTGGCTTGCAGGGTCTTCGACCTGCTTATGCCAGTCGAGGCTGTCGTCGATGCGAATGCCGGGGTCACGGTCCTCACTAAAAACGTGTAGAAGAAACGAGATCTCGGAAAGGCTGGGGGAGGCAGCGACAGGAAAGATGTTGGCCAGTGATTGATTGAGGACCCAACCAGGGTACCAGGTGAGTTGGGTGGTATCGGTGTCAACGTGAACGGTGCGAAGACGCGGCCAGCAATTGGGCAGTGTATATTTGCCGTCAAGTTTCCCTAAATCTGTGCCTACGGTCCAATTTTTAGAGTATTAATCATCACAGAATTGCCGCCTACCGTACTGAAACTCCAGACTTTCAATTGTCGGGGATGTTTGCTTGTACAGCTCCTCTATTGGCGCGTAGTCGTCATAAATGGTCCAAGTGGTGATGGCACGAATAAGCGGGAGGTAGATGCGAAGTCGGGTAAGCAGGAACATCTTTGCAATGCTCGCCTGCCGGGTAATGTCCAGCCTAATACTGGTGTTTGCGGGTAAAGCTTGAAGGTCGGAGTCTTCGGCCCTATCCTGTGCTCGGTAGTCCCATATACAGGAGTAGAGACGAAGATTGGCGGTGGCCGTCGCAGCGAGGATGATCAAATCCACAGGAAGGTGCTCTATCTGGCAGAGCTCGACAAGTTGGTATGGATTCAGAGAGCTACTAGTAAGAGTTTGAGGACGCCGCAAGAGTAAGAGCGACAGTATTGCTTGGGAGACCGCACCCGGTAGGCGGCTCCAATTCGTCCAATCTGTGGACCCAACAGACACCCGCCGCAAACTTGAAGAGGCGAGCGAAGACAGGAAGTTAGTTGATTCGGATTGGGGCGGGACGTCAGAACGCCATGGAGTACAAATGTTGATGTCCAACTCAATGATGTATTGTAAGAGGTGAGGGGTGTCCTTGAAGCGTTCGGCAGCGCGGGTCCAGGATGAGGTGTCAGCCGAAAGTACCAAGTAGCGATTCAAGCGTTTCTGGCAAGGATGGACAAATACCCGGGCGGAGAGACAGCAGCTTGTCAATGTGCTGTTGTCAACGATATAGTCGATAGTTTGGTCAAGCACTTCGAGAGGAAGGTGGACCATGAGAGATTGAGAAAGGCAAGGATCTCCTATGATCCCTTCTTTTGATCCTGACGACCACCACCATTCGCCTCCACCACTGGCATATTACTTGCCCTGATCCCTTAAGCCTACACAAATGTAATAGGCACGTCGCTGCACGGAGATGGACGTTGGAGGCAGAGAGCATCCTTTCGGCGTTTCGAAATGTGGCGGTATACCGCCATAATCCATCTTGCACCGCCCCCAGACTCTATTCCAGCCCATCTGCGGCTTACAGCAAAAATAGCTTTTTTCACTCTGCTCCCAGCAGCACGCATCTTAGCCTGGCTGTTGACACTTGGGGTCGAAAGCTCGAGGTGCGTCTTGGTCCTACTATACTGTATGTGCCTCCCGCTTGACCTGCACCAATTGCCAGTCAGCCATTCTCTCCAACCTGGCTCTCCTGTAGATTTCCATGGCAGGCATTACTCCCCCCAAAGCACCTACGTTGGCAACGGAGATGAATGGGGACCGGTGGAATTGGGGGCCAGAACGTATCATGATGTGCTTTTCAGGTGTGTGTTTTATTTCCCGTGGGTCGCAGCATTGTTGCTGACCTTGGCAGGCTCTAGCAAGTCAGCCGAATTGTGTCCAGCCCTCATATGGGTCCCAGCGCCAGAGGCGATACCTCTCATTCAAAACTGGAATCATCCCCGCCACGTCTGGACGGTCTGGCCAAGACAGTGCTTTATGGCCTGCGAGTTTTATACCCTCGTAGCCAGCCGCGAGCGTAGTAGTCCGATAAACGTCCTTCCGCCTCTTGTCTACTTCCCTTCCTGACGGGAAAGCGATTGAGACTCTCGCTGCCAGCCGATATATACGAACAACTTATGAAGATGGTGCGACAGCGCTTCGGCGGTGAAAAGGGGAGAAGGTCCGAGTCTGGTGCGTTATCTTCGGTCCCTGTTTACACAAATCAAATTGGCTTCACGGCTTTCAGGACAAGCCTTTTTGGAACGGAACGACAGGACAAACGCTCAAGTTTCATTGGGCTTCACTATTCAAAGGTTACACAACCTGGGACAACTCTTCTGCATCCACCATCTCCTTCCTCGCCGCATCTCTTGGCTGTATGTCCAGCGAATGAAACAACAATGTCGTTTGGGTCTAAGTATGTACATATCTGCTTAGTGTTACTTCTTTTCGCATATTCTCGGGCCGCTCTCGGCTTTTATATCGTTCCTTTCGAAGTAGCCATATTGCTGCCATATGTCCTTCATTTCAACCTACCCAGAACATAAGTTTTTGGTTCCACATGAAAAATCTGTGGCGGCAATCACAGTGCTGAGTCATCGACACTTTTTTCTTCTCTTCGCCGACAAATCATTCACCAATGACAATGCATCCGCTTCTCAAGCTGTCTTCTCTTGGAGGACTACCCCCTCTCACGAAGGAACGTGTCAACTTCTGACTAGAAGCCCAACTTGAAAAATTTGCAGAGACTAGCTCATTCTGCCACCCGCGGGACCTTGCGCGATTTTAACGCTTTTATGGACCACGTAATCACTCCTACCTTCCCCGAGAAACATCTCCCGCGACTCAGCTGTGTTGCCTACATCATTCTGGACCCATCAACAATCTCCAAATTTCTCCTGCAGGTCGACGATTTGGACCGTGAGGCGAACAGCAATGCGCTGGCCATTGCGCATGATACGATAGCACGCGCAATGCGAACCATTACCTTGGCTGGACTGTTGGCGAATCCCACGGTCGGCCCCGACGAGCGCGCCCCAATAGCGGTCCTCCAGGAGCTGTGGCCACGTATTTGGGAGTGGATATGTTTTCACGACAACTTTCGTGACCATGACATCTTTGACTTCGGGAAGCCCGCTGTGGCGATGTACCATGCGCACGTCTGCATGATCCATACACTCGTCCGGCACTCAGCCTTGAAGGCTCAACTTTACGCAACTCCGGGACTGTGGGAGTTACTTGGTCGTGCCTGGGCGATTTTCGTCGAGACGAGGGAGTACAACGGTCAGGGAATTATACAGCTGGCCGAAATCATTCTTTGGCACTCTTCAAGCATTGCCGAGTCGGTCTTGGACGATTCGCGTGTCGTCAATGACCTCGTTGCTGGAGTCGGCGGATTACAAGAGCTTGCCCGCATTTGCGTGAAGAGTCTCGACACGACTTTCCCACACGACCCATCCCTACAGTTACCTCTCACTCCACTAGCACAGGCCACGGCCTCGACCGTGCTCACTTTACTGAAATGCCACCCTCTTCATGAAAGCACGGTCTTCCATAAAACATTGAGCGAGCTTGGAGCTGTCGCGCCACTCGTTCGTGTTCTTCTCCGTGTGCTACACGAGTACCCGGTCCCTCGGACCCGCGTCAACGAACGAGGGATCATTTTCGCGACTTTCTCCGCTCTGTTCCGTGCTGTTTTAGCTATAAACGAGAGCGATCCGGTCCCTGGTTATCTTGAGGCGCTGAAGGCAGGCCTGCTCCCCGCGAGCCACAACTTTTACAGTGGCATCGAGCCAGAGGAACATGTTGCACATCTGCCGGCTCTCCTGTTCAGCACCCACATTATGACTTCGCCCCTCATTCTCGAGGAATTGAGCAAATGGGATCTCAAAAAAGTCGAAGACACCTCCGGTTTCGTCGATCCCGCCCTGGCGGAGGCGTGGCGCAACGTTTATACTCTGATTGAGTCACGATTGACTACGTTTTCCGCCCACAATGTGATGCGAGGGTCTGTCCGTCGAGGATGTTCCAATCCGAGAGTACGCTACTTACTTCTTTTTGTGATGACGGTAACACTAACCGAGATACTCTCTAGTGCGAAGAACTCCATCCGCGGGAGGTCATGAAGTGGTGCACGCTCTGCCACTTGACGCAATACTGCTCGAAGGATTGTCAACGTGAAGATTGGCATGCCCGACACACCATATACTGTGATGCGCCGGTTTTTGACGACATTGATCCCGGACGAATCTGTATGTTTTTATTCCCCTTCTGCCCAAGAACCCGAACTAATGGTCGACGCAGATAGACGCCGGCGTTCATTCATGCGGTCGTTGTTGAATGAAGAGTACACCAAACATGAGGAAGACATTGCGCGCCAGCTACTCCAGTTCTTCATCGTACACCGAGAACATGCGACCCCATATGTTTTATTCAGCTACACGGAAGTCAACACGCCGAACTGCGAGGTGACTGTTGGTGCCATCACACAACACAAGTCGCTGGTCTCCACATATCGCGAGGACATGGACCGCGCAATGTGCAGTGATGGGCGGTATCACCTCCACTTCCTTACGCTACCTGGGCGCCCAGACGCTCCCGACCGCTGGATGTTCTACCCGTTTCATTCGGTTGTAGGGGTGCTTGAGCCGGGGCTGCGGCGGCTTGCGGAGCGGGTGAAGCAGGAGAACACTAGCACTGGAGCGGAAGTGGACACCGAGGGTTATGCGGAGGAAATACGTCGTTTGTTGGAGCAAGAGCGTGGGGAGGGCGGCTTGCAAACCCACTAAAATACAATTCGTAACCATCACTAAAACTTCATGTCAGCATACTTATAGCTTTTGAAGCAGCTTGATAGAGCTAGATCCTTCTGAGTCATACCATTGTATTTATTATCTAAATGTTACACTACTGTTAGTTGACTGAATTTCTACCATGAACAAAAACAAGCAGGGATTAATAGGTATTTTAACAAGGCTCATTGGGTTACTGTACTATTTAGACCTTAAGTCCAGTGGTTCTTACACATTACACACTGAGCTTACCAGGTTATAAGTTCAGATGGTCATCTTACACTTCACATTACGGATTTCCGGAGAGTCCTTGGTTTGAGTTTGTTAGCAGAGTCACTGGAATTGAATGTGGATAAACTTGCTACTGGGATACTACCAGAGCAAACTTTGCTGTAGCAAGTACTGTATGATATCAAACAAACCTGTACTCTTTGCACTTGTGGGAGTGAAACATGTGGAATATAAGTGATGCTGAATACAGAAACAACTCCAGAAACAAGCAACATACAGAAATTATAGTTGATCTGTTTGGGCTCCATTACTCTTATATTAAGCAGATGTCGTGTGAATGTATGCACATGTTTGGCATCAGTTTTAGCAATTTATTTACTCCACATTTCCACTTTTGGGACCACTGCTGTTGAAACCCTAATTTGGTAAGAAAAGCTGTAAAGTCTAATTGGGACATAAAGCTGTAAAATCAAGATTTTACATCAAGTACCATAAACAAGTCCAATCTAAGGCTATTTGTGATGTTGTTCTTGGCTGTAATATCAGTATAGAGGGCATGTAGACCTTGATATTTCATAAACTCATGAATAAAATTGGCATATTCAGTCTGCAAAAAATTGTGAAACAATATTTGAAGCTGGGGCGTAGCCCCAGCCTGTCTAGTGGAAAATGTATCCATGCTGCAACCCATAACTGTAGGCAAGGGTACGGAATATAAGAGCAACATGAGGATGACAACTTGGACAAAGTTGGATAAGAAGTCTGGGTATAGGTGTGGTTGTGGTAATGATGGGATCAATGATGGTGATGATGGTGGATAGTATGGAGAATGTATTGGTGGTGGTGGTGTTGAACTTGAGTTGGGCAGAGAGGAAGGAGGTGTTGATATAAGGAGAGCAGACTAGGTTGGTCCCTCCATGTATTTCCGTAGCTTTTATTCACGCTTTGGATCCTCCCCTGCTAGGCTTTCGTCGGAGTCTCCAGGGTTGCCCTTACAGCTGTTCAATCCACAGAGGGCAATGTTCCATGAAGGTAGATGCATCTGAGCATAGTGGAGTCTTCATCTAATCACATAGACTACAGGTTCAGTATATTCAAGAAAGTCTTTATCCCTGACTCTGTAAAACAGAGAAGGGTTCTGTTGGTTGATAAGTACAATTGGTCTGCCAAAGTATTCAAGTCATTTTGATTGCAATATCATTCCCTTGAGAATTTCTTTGGATCACCAGAACATTCTCTTGATCATTTTTAAAGTTCTCATCAGTGTAAGGGAAACCCCGGAGGCCCGAGATCAGGGTCTAGCAGGGGAGGATCCAAAGAGAAGAAACTCTAAGGGTCCGCCTGCTAGGGAGCTGACTATAGCTTGTCCGTAGCTGCCGCTGTCGGGCACAGAAGGCTTGGGCGGCGTCGCAGGCAAGGTCCCAGGGCGACCGTTGGGAGGGCGTTGACAGATCGGTGATTGTGCGGGCGAGATGGAGGGTCGGACCGGAGTCAGAACCGGAATCGGACCGGAATCGGAGACGTCTCTGGGGGGCCAAAAGGGAGGTTCCCCTGACAATCATGTGTGTGTATTTTGAGCGGAGGGTATGTAGGTATGCGACTCAGACCACACACTCTCTTCAGAAGGGATAGTGGGAATATTCCATATTCTATATATGCCAGTGAAATTGCAGAATAGCCCACCAATCATGATTAGCTCTCCCCCTGAGCTACATTATTCTGCACTGGTCCAAGGGAAAATGAATGTGATTGCATTATTTATTAGCATATGTTACAGTACTTGAAATTCAAGTACTGTATCAATATTAATTGTACTTGAATCATACTACTTATTCCCTCTCTTGTTACATTCAGAGCAAATTCAGAGTTGGGGACTGCTGCTTGCTGGTACTAACACTCTTTATATGTTGTCCCAATATATTGTTTGTTGCTAAGTCCAAGGTCTGAGATCGCTTATCTAATCATTATCTAATCATTATCTAATCATTATCTAATCATTATCTTATCATGTTATTGTCATCAGAGAGGTGAGCTGAATTGAACCCAGCTTAGGACTGCAATTCACTATCCTAAGGGTAGTTCTCCTCACAGCCATATTATAATGCTGGAAACTAAGGTTGAAAATGCCAAAGGTTTGTTTAGGCATGTTATATCTTGTGCATCTTTTGGACACTCTGAGGTTATCCTTGGAGTGCAACAGGGTTTTTATGTGATGAAGGGATCTGAGCATTTCCCTTCAAACAGTTAAGGGCTCGTTCGGCAATGAGAAACCAGCCCGGTTTCTCGCGCGTCAAACGAGAAACACGGTTTCTCGTGGTTTCTCGGCCGGCCGGGTCACAGTAGTCACACATGTCACCGTAGTCACATCTGCAAAATTCTTTCGCTCTGCGCTTGTGCGACATCTTGCTGGCCAAATGCCCAAACCCAAAGAAGAGGGGCAGCCGAAGAAAACCTGCCATTACTCTGATGATGACCTCATCAAGATGATGGAGGAAGTGGTCCGCCGAAAGAGCTCTCTCGGTGATCCTGCGGGGCTGACAATGACGGCTGCCAACGAGATTGCGGCACTACTTTTAAATCCGCCACAGAAGGGACTTCCCGAAGACTGGTAGCTCTGTGAGGAATCAGTTCAACAAGGTGGGGGGCTTGCTTTGGTGACCAATGTGCTGCTAATTGCTGGTATACTAGCAAAAAGGCCTTTGGACCGAAGTCGCAAAGATCTGTGCCAACTTGGGCTTTGGGGCATGGAGCCATGAGTACGGAGCTAATATCCTGCCTGACCAGGCGGCCGTTTGGAAGGACTGGGTCGCAAAAAACCCGAAGTCAAAGCCGTTTCGCAATAAAGGCTTTCTGCTCTATAAGTACTTTGACGAAATCCTTCCGCTGGTTACTGCTGCTTCTCGTGGGCAAACCGTCTATCGTCCGAGGTCGGGGCTTGGTATGTCAACCAATACTACAGGTTTGTGATTGCTACTTTTACGATCTGGCCTGACACCTGCCTTGTAGCTTCAATTGACCTGGACAGCGACAGTGACATAGGCAGCGGAAGCCCAGTCGATAAAACACCGGGTAGCCCAACCGTCTGGGCTATTGAAGGGTCCGACCAGCCACTTCCCCCTGATGATGACAACGACAATACCCAGGACGATAACTTACTTCCGACTCCATCACAAATACGCACACGTAAACGCGGCCCATCGGAGACACCTCTTCCGTCAAGCCAAGCTTCCCGCAAGGCACGAGCAGCACCACCTGTCCATACCCATCGAAAGCATCTTCTGGTCGGATTAACAAAGAAGAGCGTTTCAAGGTTCTCGATACTCATATCAGCAATACGACAGAACTTCTCCGGTCGGTACTCCAGCCATTAGCGTTGCCAGCTGCGGCAGCACCTTCTTCCCCTCCTCCACTTCCTCCTCTGCCTCCTCCCAACACTCCAGCCCGTCTCCAAAGTGCAGTTAAGTACATACATCAGGTGGAGAGTGTATGGCTCCCAAATCGACTTGCGATGCGGTTTACGGATCTTTTGGAGAGCAACCGTGATCTGGTTGCATCATATATGGGCTTGTGGGGGACCCAACCGGCTGATGTTGTTTACCGGCGAGAATGGATTTTACGCAAACTTGGGGTTATGGAATATATTCCAGAAGGTTATGATCTTTCACTTGATTCTCTACTACCATTCACTTTTGATTCTCCTATGGATAACTTCGCATTCAGATTTGATAACAGGCTCTGATTCTAGATATTGTTCTCTAGGTAGTTCTGATACTGGATCCACATAGCATTTGCAATTGAATCTCGACGATCTTCTGCAAAGTCTTGTTCAGCTGCTGGAATAACGACCGAGGAAGCTAGGCCATTGTTTGTCTTGGCTTCATGACGTGGTATAGGGTCCCAAGCTTCATCGTCGACATCAAACCCTATCTCGTTGGCCTCGACAGGATCATAACGAAGAACCAAATTGTGGATTGCAATCAATGCAGTTGGAACACAAGCTTGGACTTCCATTGAATACTTCAATGGATGACACAGACAGGCCCAACGCTTTTTGAGCACTCCAAAAATTCGTTCGACAATATTTCGGGCTTGTGCATGGCGAAGATTAAAAAGCTCTTGTGCATTTGCAGGACTATAGAAAAAAAAATTGTTAGGTTTCTATTTTAAATAAAAATAAAATAAAAAACCATACGCAACATCAGCACGTCCCCATTCCTTCAAATGATATCGCACCCCACAATATGGAACCAAAAGAACCCGGCAATTTGGAAAGCCTGCATCAGCAAGAAAGAATTTACCATCAGGAATGATAAAATCTTCCATACGAGACTGGGCAAACATAGTTGCGTCTGCAGCGGAGCCATCATATCCGGTAACTGCATACTGGAATCGCATATCAAATGAACAGCAACAGAGAATGTTCTGTGAGACCTGTCCTTTCCGGTCACGATGGAACTGACGCTGCTCCTTTGATGGCCATGAAGGAATATGACTTCCATCAATGGCACCAAGGGCATTGTCAAAGAAAGGGGAGAATTTGGGATTGGTGGAGAACATAGAAGGGAGAGGTGTTGTTGCCGTCGGTAGATGAACGTAGCGGTTATAGAATTCCGGTCCCGAAAAAGCTGTCAGAATTCCACGAAAATAACTAATTGAATATCAGAAGAAGCAAAATATAGAGATGTCAGTGTTCATACAGGCTGATGGTCTCATTTGACCGTTGGAATCGTTCCCCGATATGGCGGACTGACAGCCCCGTAACACATGAGTACAAGAAAATTGCGAGTTTCTCTTCAAGGGATACGTGACGTGATGCAGAGTAGCCAAGCCAATGAAGCTCAGCAATCAGTATGTTGAATATATGGCGCCGCACGCCCAGCTCGGAGAGAATACGGTCTGGATGAGCGCTATTATATAACTCATCTACCCATGCTTGACCAGACAGAGCTGATGTATGGTATGGAATAGGCTCTGCACGTAGTGTATCTTGAACTAGCAAGGAGAGATACAGCAAGAGCTGCAGGAGGTGGGCTGCGAGGAGGGCAGCAAGTGCCTGTGCTCGTCTTGGGTCAGGAAGAACCATGATTAGTGTGACAGATGAGATCGTGCCCGATCTATCAATGCCAAGTAATTTGCAAGTCTCAGTTCTTGTTAAAATTCTACACTAGAAGGTTTACAGGCTATCTAGAACTCAGGGAGGGCGAGATTAAGAGCCAGCGCCCAAAAAGGAAGTCACGCCGAGCTTGCCTCGGCGCAGCGTGACAGCGAGAAACCACGAGAAACCGTGTTTCTCGTTTGACGCACGAGAAACCGGGCTGGTTTCTCGTTGCCGAACGAGCCCTAATCTGCATGCAGACCCTCTCAGAGCTGTTCGGACCCTCCAACCATCAACACGGATCTTTACCCATTTGGACTTTTGCTTTTTTACTTATATCCTTTAGGCATTCACCTTGTTTCCTCTGCCTTGTGTATGTCTTCTCGTTCCCCTTACTTACTATGCCTTATGTCTACCACTTAGTATAAGTACTCGTACTCTACACTCCTGTACTTCAGTTTTGTTATTAACATTTCTTACCTCGCTCTCTGCTCTCATCTCACTCCTCCCTGCGTTCTAAGCCTTATCACCTTTGGCTTATCTGAATGTATTCACAGGAGCTCACATATTTGTTCAGACTTGTATTCAACCACTCACTCCAATATCTGTGTTATGATAGTCACTCAGTTTACCTTCGAACTCTCCGTTACTTCCTTTTGGTCTTTGCATGCCACTTAACAAGGCAAGACCATATATTATGATATATTACGATAAAATTCATAATATAATATTTTACCTTATTAGTATTATATTACATTATGGTTATATTAGGCTGTAGAGGACCATATTATGTTATCATCATTATTGTGGATTTAGCATAATAATATCATAATAGTCCACCACTATAAAAAAACAAGTGTTGGAACTCAATATTATTTATTCTTATTTCCCAGAATTATTCATTACAGTGGAATCTGTCATATGGGATAATGTTGGTGGAAGCCCCAGGCCTGTTCCATAGTGCGGATATTCCAGATGAAATTTATTCTATCTATTCAGTTCAATATTAAATACCCAGAAAAGATGCTGGATTTACATAGTAAAATAAAAAGTGATATCTCTCTGACTTTTCCCTGCCTTGACCTCTTGCTCTACTGCCATCTACAAAATTCTGCCAGTGACGTGGTCTGGAATTAGCGCGACGCACTTCCATTTGGGTCTCCACTGTCCAGTGCTCGTCGTCAATGGAAGACACTTGAAGTTGTGTGTCAAATGACAACCCATTGAATGCGCTGCTACGGGAACAGTAAAAAAGCCATGGCAATCGGCGCCGGACCCTGAGAATGCCCATCGAAAAGAACAGATGAGCGCTGGGGCATCATCGTCGTCAACACTGACAACAGCAAGTCACAAGCAAGTCAAGACCCTTCAAGACCGCGTCACCGTCACGTGAGTGTGACATCGTCTCCATATGGCAGGCAAGAACGTCGTCATCGTCGGCGGGCACGGGAATGTACGCATTCCCCTCTCTTTCTGGACAAAGTTCATGGCCTGCGATAGGTCTCCCTCCGCCTTACCCGCCTCCTCACGCCAGCACACACGGTTACGTCACTCATCCGCACTACGGAGCACAATGCAGACATCGTGGCCGCTGGTTCCAAGCCCCTTCTTCTGTCCCTGGAGGGCGCAACTGTGGAACAGCTTGCCTCCACCTTAAGCGCGGCCAACGCAGATGTCGTGTACTTCAGTGCCGGTGCTGGGGGCAAGGGTGGCGAAGAGCGGACAAAGAGCGTCGACTACGAGGGCGCGCTGAAGGTGTTTGATGCAATAGAGAGTCTTGCAGAGGGGAGTCGCCCGCGGTTGATACTCGTTTCAGCGCTGGATGTACGAGACCCGGAGAAAGTGCCTGCCCATTATGTGCGTCTACTTATGCCCCATTATTTTGCTGTCAGGACTGACTCTGCTACCAGAGTGAAGAGGACATCGCACTCTCCACCCGCATCCGCGGCCACATCCCAGCATACATGAAGTGGAAGTACGAAGCGGACAAGAACCTCGCGCAACGCAAGGGCTTCAAGTGGACGATTCTCCGCCCAGGTGGGCTGACGAATACCGCTGGGACTGGGACGGCCAGCATCGGGCGGACACATCTGAGCCCTCAAATCTCGGTGTGTCGTGATATTTCGCTGCTGCTTGCCCCGATTGATGTGCTTGTAGCGTGACGACGTGGCCTTGACGCTTTTCCACCTCATCGACCGGGAAGATGCTGCCGGGCTTGCTATTGATATCGTCGGCGGGGAGATGGCCGTGGCTGAGGGGCTGGACAAGATGATCGCGAAAGGCGAGACGGACTTTTTGGGCTGAGCGGGAAATATAAGCTGTGTTTCTTGTGTTGATTAGTTTAAAGCCATAATTCATCTTCAGAATACTTAGTATCGCTCAAATATCAAATATCACAGGTCCGCGAAATTCGCCTCCGTTTCGTTGTCCAGCTTTTCAAGAACGTGAATATGACTCGTATGGATGTTGCTGGGGCTTGAGTGCGGAATCTTAAAGCCTGAGATCCTGGACCGAGTGGGCTGGGAAGATGGAATTGATATTTTCTTGAGGAGCATCGCATAACTGATAAGATTGCGACAATCGCCATTCTCTGTTGGCTGTCCTCACGACGATCTTGAGCGGCGTCGTCAAGCACGTGGGGGCCAACGTCAGCGATGGGCGCCCGGTAGTAGTCAAGGGGAAGGAAAAGATTTCGGTGGTCACAGCTATTGATTTCCCTCTTCCTTCGATGGCTCTCCCCGCGGAGCTCCTCGAGCAAATCGTTGGCCACATACCAGACACCTCCTCTGTGAAGAGCTGCTGTCTCGCCAGCTCGGTCCTCGTCTATCCCTGCCAAAAGCGGCTGTACAACATCCTTACCCTCCCCCTTGCGGACCCCGCTACCTGGGAGCGCGCCAGCGAGCGCTTTCAGCAAGTGCCGCACCTCCTCCAACATGTTGAGCATCTAGCAATAGAGCTCAGCCTGCTCGATCTCGCGGACTCCGTTTGGCCCGACTTCTTCGCCAAGCTGCTCAATCTCAAGAGCGTCTCCATCATGGCGGGGTCGACATCGGGACTCATCGGGTGGCCCACCGTTCCGGAACCGGTCGCCGTTGCTTTGGCCGCGCTGCTGCGGGCACGACATGCCCACCCACTCTCCCGTGTCTCTCTCACGCGGGTATCTCAACTGTCGACCGAGATTGTTTTGCTGTCCTTCAGGGCAACTGCGCGTCTGGCCATTACTTCCTGCAACATCGTCGAAGATGACGAGACGCCTTTGGTCGAGATGAGCACCGACGAATCCGCAGGAACTGGCACCGCGGTTTCACTGCGGCACAGCGCCAACATTGTCAAACGATTTGCCCAAAGTCCGATTTTGCGGTCTTTGGTCGCTTGCATTTCGTCGCTTGCTGTCTCGGGCCACAAGCAGGCTATCGGGAATGTCCTTACTCTTTGTCAGTGCGTCGCACCGACCATATCCCACCTCGAACTTCCCCCCTCTTGTCAGGTGTGCATTACTTTTTCTGTTCTGCGCTGACTCTCTTCGCAGGGCAGCTGTCAATGAGTGGCTCCCAATCGACTGCACTGCCTTCCTCGTGGCCAAATCTCCTCTCGGTTACACTTCATCTGAGAAAAGCAGAGCTCGAAGACACTTCCGTCTTGTCGTGGACCTTATCAGCGCTGATCAGCAGCATCCTCCCGCCCGACACCTGTCCCGCCCTGCGCGATCTCATCGTCGTCCTCGACATCCCGATCGACGACATGGCCGGGCTGGAATACGCGTTCGACGAGGTCGGGCTCGTGGAGGACGAGTTTGACTACACGCAGCCTATCCCCTGGTCGCTCGACCGGACGCGATTGGCGGCCATCGACGGCCTTGCAGCGGCACACCCGCGCCTGGCGACAGTCCAATGGACCGTGGTCGTCAATTTTGACTCCATTGGGCTCGTGGAGGACGCCTCAGAGCGCCTGCGCGCCGGCAGCCCTGCAGCATGTATACAGTATGATGCATGCTGCGCTGCGCTGCGGTCTGAGATGCCCCGGATGATGGAAATGGGACGGCTTTCTTTCAGGGGCCAAGACAGCTCGCGCCGCTAAGTATTGCCTGAACTTATGAATCTATTAGATTCCAGATTTAAAAATACGGAGACCATATGTTCATTATATAGGACTATCATCATGGTTGCGAAACTGGAAAATCCCTTATAAGGACCTGAGGAGACCTGATAGGCTTATCAGACAAAATAAGATTAACTCCCTAACCTGATAATGTCTGATTGGGTCTGGGGGAAGAGGTCTTGTCAGTTGAGAGCTTATAGGAACATATAGTCAAAATATATATAATAATTAGGGCATGCCCTTAGGCATAGTGTCGCTGCCCTGGAATCAAACATGGATATTATAACTAAAACATCACAAGTTTCTAAAAACACAACTGTCACTCTTATACTATTGCTGTCTCATCAATTAGACCTCCTTCGCCCGCACAATCACCAATCCGTCAAGACCCTCCCAACGATCACCTTGGGACAGAGCCTGCGACGCCGCTCAGGCCTTCTGCACTCTACGTCGGCAGTTACGGACGACCAGTATATAGTTGGTGTCCTAGCAGGCGGACCCTTAGAGTTTCTTCTCTTTGGATCCTCCCCTGCTAGGTCGGTCCCTCCGTGTATTTCCTGTAGTCTTATTTACTCTTTGGATCCTCCCCTGCTAGGCTTTCGTCGGAGTCTCCAGGGTTGCCCTTACAGCAGAAGAAACTCTCTACGGGATTAACCGGTCAAGATTGCCAGGTTTGGCGCTGATTCAGGCTCGGAGTACGAGTCCGTACCCCCCTCGTCACCGCCCCTGCCACTTGACCCCTCCTCCTCTGCTCTTGTCGTCTTTACGCCCGCTATGTCCACCGGAGCTGCTCCGGACGCTGACGCGCGCATGGACGCACTTGAGGCGAAACTAGACAACCTCACCAATATCCTCACCCACCTTGCTTCCCAGGCTTCCGCTGCCGCACCACCTTCGGCAGCTCCCGAACCGCCTTCGGCATCTCCGAATGCCCCCGACGCGGATGCGTTATTTGGTGATATTACTGTCGCCTCAAAACTGGTCTTACGACCAAACCCCCCGTTTGCGTTTAACGGAGATCGCGAACGCGGCCGCGCCTTCCTATACGCGGTCAAGACTTACGCTCGGCTTGCCCCGGAGGCCTTCGTGGTCAACGGAGAGCCGAGCGAAGAAAAGGCCGTCCGCTACGCCATGTCCTATATGGCGGAGGGGCCTGCTCAGCAGTGGGCAGAGCGTCATGGGAGCAAAACCCCCTTCCCCTTCCCTCGGTGGAACCTATTCCTCTCCGAGTTTCGCCTTCGGTTCGTTGAGGAGAACGAGCAGGACCTTGCGCTTGCCAAGTTGGAGAGCACGGGTTATCATATGGGAACGCGGGATGTCTACGGATACACCGACGACTTCGAGGACCTAATGGACCTCGCCGGATTCGAAGACGTGTTGGTTAAGGTGACCAAGTACCGCCACGGACTTGACCCCCTGATCAACAACGGCATCACATCTTCGAACGACCCCCCAGACCTCCGTGACTATCTGGGCTGGTGCACTCGGGCTTTCCGCCAATACGAAGCCTTGGTGCGGGCGAAGCTCATCAAAGGGACCACCCCCGCAGACGCCTTCGGGGGCTCCGCGTGGCGCATTCCCTATCGCCCGTTCGGCAACGCCGTTCCCCATCCGCCCGGTGGCCGCACCCGCGCCACCCGTGGCCCGCGCCCCCGTCTCGGTACCTCCGGCTCCCGTCCCTATGGAGTTGGATCGTACTAGGGCTCGGGGCGCCCCTCGTCGAGCCTGCTTCAGATGTGGCCACCCCAATCACTTGGCTCGGGACTGTCCGCTCCCCGCCGATGTTCGCCATATGGACATCCTCAACGAGGTGATCCAGCAACTTGGCGATGAGATGCTGGGAGAGCTGCTTGCGCGGTTGTCCGACACCGCAGCCTTAGCAGAGGCGCATTCGGAGGCTCCGGCAGAGGATTTTGTCCCCCGCGACGAGTGACTGGTGTGCCCTCGTTCGCGTCCATAAATCGTTTCACTTGTTTGTATGATGAATCAACTCCCTTGCCCTACAACGAGCCTGAAACGAAAGACGCACCCCCTGCCCCTCCGAAGCCCCCGTTTGGATTCGCCGACTTGCCTGGGAGAAAAAGCTACCTGGCAGCTATACCATCTCTGCCGCTCCTGGGGTTAACTCGCTCCACCTTCCTCTTGAGCTTGAGTCCACTGCGAACGCGCTCAAGCCTCTCCCTCTCAGGTCTGGTCGACTGCAGAGCCACTTCGGACTTTATCGACACAGAATACGTCAACCGAAACAACGTGCCAGTCCGAAATCTCTCAGTACCCATACCGGTCTACAATGTCGACGGCACCCCCAATGATGCTGGGTCTATTCGCCAAATCGCGGACCTGGTCCTACGGTACAACGGACACTCCGAACGCGTTCAGCTGGCTGTAACCCACCTTGGGAAACAGGACTTGATACTCGGGTGCGTCGGGGCGGCCCATCTGGCGACCTGGGGACGTGGTGCAGCGTGAAGTCAAACCTAGAAAGGTACAACGACCATCGGGCTTGCCGACGATTAAGGTGCTGTGCCTTTCGGAAATACTCCAAATTCTTATGGTCAGTCCAGATCTCGACCGGATGCGCGGCGCCCTCGAGGAAATGCCGATACTCCTCGAGTGTGCGGATGATCGCGAGCATCTCCTTGTCGTGAATCTCGTAGTTGCGCTGGACATCATTTAAGCTTTTGGAATAGAATGCTACAGGGTGCCACTTCCGCCCGGGGCGGATTGTTGTGAAAGAACCGCCCCCGTCGCATAATCTGAGCTGTCTGCTTCAAGTCAGAAAGGCCGAGAGTCGTCCGGGATCGCTAAGACGGGCTCTGAGACGACCGCGTCTTTGATAGCTTGAAAGGCGGCGGCCGGCGTCTCCCCAGGTCCATTTCTGGTCTTTCTTGGTGAGCGCGAAGAGAGGTTGCGCTAGGGCCGAGAAATCCTGAATGAACCTGCGGTAGAAATGAGCAAACCCCAGGAACTGCTGGACGTCCTTCTTGTTCTCGGGCGGAGGCCATGCGGAGACTCCGGCAACCTTAACGGGATCCATTTCGACGTGGTTGTGAGAGATGATAACCCCCAGGTACTCGATCGATGATTTCTCAAAGTCGCACTTCTCCTTGCGGAGGTACAGCTTGTCACTCCGGAGTTTACCATGATTTTGCCTCCCAAAAGTTGATTCAAAAAGGACTAATTTTTGGGCAAAAAATATTTTTACAGAAAACAAATAGTTTCCGCAAAGGGAAAATTTGATACAAACTGGTTAAAGTGGTTTCCCTTTGCAGAAACCATTTGTTTCCTGTAAAAATGATTTTTGTGCAAAAAGTAGTACTTTTTGTATCAACTTTTAGGAGGAAAAATCACACTAAACTCCGGAGTGTGTGCATTCGGAGTCGCCGAAGGACTTCGCGGACGATCTCGCGGTGCTTACGGAGGTTCGAATGTGCGATAAGGATATCGTCAAGGTAGATCATAACGTCTCCTGAGAGAATGAGATCCTGGAAAATGTCATTCATCATCGTTTGGAAAGTCGCGGGGGAGTTCGTCAGGCCAAAATACATCACCAAAGGTTCGAACAACCCTCGGTTAGTCCGAAAGGCCGCCTTCCACTTGTCTCCTTCTTTAATCCGGACGTTATTAAAGCCCCAGCGAACGTCGAGTTTGGTGAAGTAACGGGCGCCCTTAAGCCTGTTGATAAGGTCATTAATCAACGGGAGGGGGTACCGGTTCTTAATCGTCATTGCGTTGAGGGCGCGGTAGTCCTGGACAAACCGAAGTCCTCCGTCCTTTTTCTTAACGAAGAAGACGGGGGAAGCCATCGGAGATTTCGAAGGGCGGATACGGCCTGTGGCAAGTCCCTCCTCGATGAACTCGTCAAGTTCGCGCTGTTCAAGGGGGGAGATCGGATACACCTTGCAATTAGCGGGCTTCGCGTCGGGAACGAGTTCGATAGTGTGGTCCCAAGCCCTCCGCTCTGGTAACGTGTTGAAGGACTCCTTGTCAAAGACGTCTTGGAACTCCTTGGCCCAGTCCGGAATCTCCGAAGGCAGGGGGGCCGAGTTACGGGCGAAGGCCTCTGCAAGGCGTTGGGACACGGTGCTCCCAGCGCAAATCTCCTCGATTGGGCGAAAGGAGGTGTAGAAGATGCGGTCGCCGTCTTCAAGATGCTCGTCGTCGTCGAGATCTGGTGAGTGCTCCGGAGGGTCCGAAGGAGCTCCGAGTTCGTCGTCGGCATCGTCTAGGCCAGCGATATCGATAGCGCAAACGGTGGGGAAGGCGCCCGCAAGCAAGCGCGATTTAAGGAGTCGGAGGCGCCGAACCTCAGCGCGCTCGGTCCGTTCCTCGTCGCGGCAGGTGGAGCAGCTTCGGGGGCAGCGGCTCATTTTCACCTCCTTTGTTTCCCAGTTGATCTCGGGGTTATGCTTTTTGAGCCAGGAGTACCCGAGTATCAAGTCCTGTTTCCCGTGTCCGGCGACTCGCGTATCGTGGCAGAGCTCGATGATGCGCCTCCTTAGGTCCTTGTCTTTGGGGACTAAAACCTTGCTGCGGAAGTACAGGAGGTCGCCGGAGACGGCCCACTCGTCCGAACGTGATGAGCGGGGGCCCCGAACTTGACCTCGGACCTTCAAGAGTTGCCGGGCCGCAAGCGCGACGGGCTCCTCTAGGTCAGGCTCGCCGGATAGTGCTTCCTTGATGTCGCGGACAAGTTCGGAGCCAGGCCCAGAGACGGTGACGGCCTCAAGCGCGCGAACATGGAACAGTTCGGGGCGTAAGAGGGTAACATCCGAGTTGTCCTCGGAGATGCCGTGGTCAGGCCGACGAGAGAGAGCGTCGGGGCGGCCCATCTGGCGACCTGGGACGTGGTGCAGCGTGAAGTCAGACCTTAGAGTTGGTTTCGCGCAACTACTGGTGGCCGCAGATGTCTCGCCATATCGGACGCTACGTCGCGACCTGCGACTTATGCTGCCGCACGAAGGCCCTCCGAAGGCTTC